TCCAGCCAAATACCGACAGGAACACAGAAATGAGTCAGAGCCCCATGCTGATCATCATTCAAAAATAAACATTTACCTTATTTTTCTCGTAAACTATGGATTGTACAGGTACAGTACTTTTGGGCATTTTTGATGTACTCCAAACGTGGTATCTGTCTGTGCAGAATTTGGGTGCTTCTTTTGGAACACTCTATGCATACATTTTCAAGCGGGAAAAGACATCACTAATTAAAAAACAGTCTTTTGTTCTTTTATACAGAAGCACGATTTCCATGTGCACTGAGCAAACATTTTATTTTCAAATCTAATAGAGGTCGATACATTAGAAAAATTTCACATTTATTAGAAGCTTTCTTCATGGCGTTGCGTTTCAGATGGCCAGCAATATATATATATTACATATACACACATTATATACAGTCGACTCTCGATAATTCAAACCTTCGGTAATACGAACCTCTCGAGAATTCGAAATATATGTTGAGTCCCTAGAAAAACTCCCGATATTTCGAATTAAAACAATGCGTTTTGGTACACTCAATATTTCGAAGTAAAATCTGTGGCTGACCAGACTACAACACGCTATAATTTGAAGTCATCCTATAAAACTCTCGTCAATTCGAACACTCACTATCATGTGCAGTCCTCTAATAAACAGGTTGAAGCTTACAAGCTTTGCGTTGTCTCTACGTGTCTCCCCGGTAACGCAGCTCTTTTAATAACCATATGTCTGCTACCCCTTTTTAGTGTTTTCCGGTTCCTCAAGCGAAAAGCCACTTTTATTATTTTCATTCCTTTAAGTAGACAATAGACCAACCACACCTGTTGTCAGCCGTCCATTCCTTTCGTTTAACACGTTGCCTTACTACACGTGTTCAGAAAGGATGGCCCACTATTGTGAAGAGATGCGTAGGATTGTGTATGAATGTATGGAATGACTGTAAAATATTTATATTGTATAGATATATACTTTTTAAAAATACTTTAAAATAATTTTATACATATGTATACAATTGCTCTTTTAAGACATAGTTTCAAATTTAAATGTGTTAGAAAAAAAATTTCTCTTCGTGTATTTTTGGAATTTTTTCTGCCCTCTTGATAATTCGAAGTTTTTCATTGGTTCCTCCAACTTTTAAATTATTGAGAGTCGACAGTATATATCAAACTCTATATTAATTTTATTGTAAGAATTTATATCCGCATCATATTTATTTCTCACAATAGTCATACAACACAAACTCGCATTTTCTTTAAAAGTGGGTATTGATCTCGTTCATGTAAAAAAAGTACAATGATTTTACGATTGATTCCTTTTACCTGTCTATTACTATTTTCTTTTTATGTAGTAAAATGTTAAGGCTAAATGCGAGTTTTGTAATCAAGTTACACACTAATTTTTTAACATATTTTTTGTAGGCTTTTTAATTATAGAAAAGTATTATTTTTACATTTTAAAACTTCAAATACAAATAAGTAAAAAAGCAATTTACGAAATTCATCAATTCTAAGAATATACGAGACAGAGAGAGAGGCACTGTTCACACATTTCTTAATTATTGCCCTTTCACTGGGATGGCCAGTTTTTCATAAGTGAGGTACAATCGAAAAGTTCTCCATTATCAGCCTACTGTTTTCGCGTCGTTAATCCTAAGTATTTGACTGGCCCTAATACTTAGTTGATTTCAAATCGTAGATAATCTTTTAATTATTACCATTAAATATCTGAAATAAAAACGACTATAAATGATACATTTCAGAGAAACAAACTCTCACAAATAGCCACTGCCGAGGGCAAGTGTTCATCATTTCAATTGCTAATTTATATTTTAAAACAAATTTATCATAAATTTTACATTTAATCACAATTAATTTTAAAAATGACTATTTCTTCCAAGAATATTTCTGAGAAATAAAGAAATTCATAGCATACTAATACCAAAAAAATATGGCAAAAACAATAATGAATGTTTCATTAAATATTTTTAAAGTAAATTATTGTACTTACTTTTTAATTTTTTTTCAGCAGATCAAGAATGTGATGCTCACAATTTCCAATTATTTGCATTTCACTTTTTCAAGCAGAATTCACAAATAAAAAAAAAATGTTGCAATAGATACGGTGAAAATTGTAATTATGCAAGCTGAAATTTACTTAAAATTACGTCACAAAATTAATCTGCAATTTCATAAAACAAATTAATAAGCTAGTTATCTAAAACAAACCTAAATAAAATAATTTTTGTCAATTCTTTTGAGAACACTAAATTTTCACATTTATTCTAAAACATAACAAAACCAATGAAATTGAAATACATCTAATAGGGATAAAAAAAATTACCAAGAGATAAAAAAAATTACAGTCTCACTTGAAAAGATGAATTTTATAAGACTCCAAGCAAATAACAAATTTTTGAAGACTAGGAAATAATTTATCGTTACTAAATATAATTGTTTTTCTTGATACCATCATTTCTTGATATGAAAAGTCATTTTTCGTACATTTTCTCAAAAACCATTAAAAAAATTTCTGATTCTGGAAATAATATCAGGTTTATACAATTTTATCACCAGTTTCTAATTTTATTTCACCTGATGTAATTTTGCTTTAAAAAAAAACCTAATCTTTCGAATAAAAAGATACTCTGTGAAAATTTGTGAAACATTTTTATGAAACAACTCTTCAATCATTGCGAGAAGAGTGAATGAACTTTAGTGTATAAATAAACAGAATTGTAAATATAGTTGTCTTACAAGATAAAAGCTTTCTCTCTCTCTCTCTACAAATGTTTTCTTATTAAATATTCCAGTAGAAACTCTGCGTTTTTTTTTGTCAAACTCAACTTTATTGAAAAGACACTTTTTACACAGAATAATAATCGAAATATTCACTTTTTCTATCTATAATTTTTGACCCTTTATCAGTTAGATGATGAGCACTTTCACAAAAAAATGTGGTTTCAAAACAAAATAGTCACTGAGCCATTTTCGCACATCTTCAACTTCAGTGAACCGCTGGTCTTCTAAATATGACATTGATCTGAATAAAAAGTTATCAAAATCACATTATCAGTTAGAAAATGTGTTGCATGCTGGACAGCTTTCCAGCCTAAGATGAATTCCTGGGATCATTTTCATGTATGTGGACGAGCGTTGCCAAGTAATAATATCACTTTCTATCTTGCTTGGCATGTAAATGGTCTTTTTCCTTCAAAACATCACAATTTGACGAATTGGGCTGGTAACATTCAGCTTTCAACAGTTTGGCCAGGTTCCATAAGTTCGCAGTAAATGGCTCCTTTCCAATCACACTAGATACACAGTAACACTTTCTTGATACAAATATTTGTTTTTGCAATTGATGCTAATGGCTAGAGTGAAACAACCCTTACTTTCCTGCATTTAGGATAGTCGCACAAAATCCACTTTGTATAACCTGTAACTATTTGGAGGAAAAAAACTTCTATCTCTTGTAAAGAAACAATAAATTAATGTAGATGTTAACTCTTTGGTTTTTTTTTCAGTTTATGAATAACCCATTTTCCTCCTTCTGTATCTTTCTCATAGCATGCAATTGAAGTGATATTGCTTGGTGAATAACTCCTAACTGTTTTGCAAGCTCTTTTTCAGTTTGATATGGATTTTTCTCAAGTAAAACTTGAAGCTCACCTTCAATTTTTTTTACTGTAGCTTGATGTATATGGTTCTCAAGACTAAAATTTACAACATGAAATCTTGCAAGCCACTTACTGTTAAATGACATGGAAAGATCACCAAGTCGGATTAATCAATTCTATAGCTTGAGCAGCAGCAGCAGCACACACATTATTTTTTCCCTTTGAAAACAGAATTAAGTGCAATGGCATAAATGTTGCTTATCAACATCCACCTCTAACAAAACTGAGACATACAGAATGATAGCTTGCAAATGAATGGAACATGTAAAAAAAATAGCAATGACTAAGCTATATATATCCAAAATGGCAGGCTAATTGAATGTGTTAAAGTATTTTTTTTAATGTAACCAACTTCAGAGCTTAGTCTCTACTTAGACACTTATTATATTCAACTGCAGGCAATTTGCTTAAAATTTGTGATTATTCTACAATTATAAAATAAATTAAGAGACTCCTGATATTTTAATGAACTATCAGTAATTACTGTCCTAGTTTTTGACACAGAATAACTCATTTTTGATCCTGAAGCTATAAAATCTCAATTGTGCTTTTTCTAAATCGTTCATGATATATTTTATACAAACTAGTTCATTAACTTTGATATATAAATTTAAAAAACCCCACAGAAGTAAACAGAAATTATATTAACTACTAATCAAAAGAATGAATAATACAAGTAATAATGCATAAAAATTAAATGCAAAGAAACTTAAAAAGTACTTTTTATGAGGATTAATTAAATAAATATGGTCAGAAGCTAAGACAGAAAGTGATTCAATAGATTTTACAACTATAAAACACATCTATTTTCTTTTGAGATCAGTAACTGGCAACCTCCAAAAGGCTGAAAAAAATATTCTATATAAAATAAAAATTTAAGATATGTTTACAAGGGTTGAAATAAGCTACTGATACAAGATCTGCACCTCATTCTCCACACTTTTACATTGCACTTTGCATTACAATATGGGATTTATTGTTCCAGCATACTTGATCTAATGAACAGGCTACTTCATTTTATTGTTTTTGTTTAAAAAACAAGTAATATAAATTTTTTTTAAAGTCAATTCCTTCTTAAGTCACAACAAAGAAAAATTTTATTTGTTACTTTTTATTAAATATTTACAATTAATATAAAAATGTAAATACATATGACAGAATCACAACATTAAGAGACAAAATAGAATGTGATTTTCATTGAAATTTTCCATTCTATATATAGAGTTAGACTATTTTGTTTGTTACTATTTATTCATTAATTAAATTTAGTTATTCTAATAAAATATTAAAGTAAGAAATAAATCACATTCTCAGAAATTAGGCTATACCAGGTGGGATTCAAACCCACGACCTTTGGATTAGAAGTCCAATGCGATATCCATTGTGCTACAGGAACACAACGAACAATTTTCTTTTCTATATACGCCGTTGAACTATTATTTTTGTTTGTTACTATTTATTCATTTAATAAAAGAATTAATATTTGAAAAAATTGTATTAACATCAAGTGTCATCCACTACAAGTTTAAAAAAATGTATTTGAACTTGAATGGATGAATAGAAAGTATTTTATTAACAATTGAAAATTTGGAACAAGATATATATATATAAATAAATATATATAGGCAGAGAGTGAACTAATAGTAGGAATTGAATAAGCACACTTTTGTTTCTCTAGATTATGAGAACAAATGCCTGTTTAAATCCAGCTACTTATTTTTGCCTGGCACAAGGTCTCTCTGCAAACTATAGCCAATGCAGCTCTTTTTGAATAATGATCAGATGATGTAGTCAACACCTTAGATTGAATTCCACTATCCACAGCATTAAAGAAAGAGGATTTCAGTGTCAGATAATCCAAGAGATTTAACATGCATCAACTAAACAAAGGGCCCTAAGTAAAATCAGGACTCTAATACGAGGTTTGACCAAAATGTGACCAGCTACTAAAACCACATGAAAACATAAAAAAAATATTTTTTTTGGTTCAAGTAAATTTTTTATAACATTGCAAAGATAAAAAAAAATATATTAATAAATTTTGAAGTAAGAAAAATAATTTATTGCTTTTTAAATAAAAATTTAAAATAATCCATCCTTTTTTTACAGTAAATTATTTTATAAATTGTTTTTGGAGAAAAAGAAATAAAAATCCAAGTTTTGTTAAAAATCAAGAATGAGCAATTCAAATTCAAAATTGCATGAAAAATACAAAAAAAAATTCTGTAAATATATTTGAAAAGTAAAAACACATTACTAGCAATTTAAAATGTAATACCACGAAGAAAAACATATGCCAGTCAAATAACACAAAAGAGTGAAATGATAGGAATAAGCAGCTTCATTCAACTCACTGAACATGAAAAATTAGTAATTTATATAGCCACTACAGCTAGTACTCATACTAATTGCTGCAATATGCTTCAGCAATGAAAGAAAGTGGTATTGAGCACATTCTTGAGATATATCCATCTATTCTGTTTATCAAACAAACATTATTGAAGTTCATCTGACCTAGCAGGAGGTGGTGTTTTCTGGACCCATTGTTTGTCAAATATATGTCATATATGTTCGATGAGCAAGAGATCGAGAAAACAGTTGGACCAAAGTAGTTGCTTTGTTCGCAATGAGGATTTATTGAATTTTCTTTGGTGTGTGAAGTTTCACATTACCTTATTGAAACGACTACAAGCAAGCCTTGAAGGGAAGATGAAAGTTTTCAAAACTTCAAATGTAATTAAAGGGTGATTGGAGTCAAATTCAATAGAATCATCCGAAAAACAGCTATTAGTTTGTTCGGTACTTAGTTGTCTTATGTGTAAAATCTAAGGTAGTCACAGTAGTGAATGCCTTATTGAAACTACCATCTGCTGTAGACAATACTGCATAGAACAAACTGATACTGTTAAAAAAATCACAAAAGATGACTTGTTGAAAGAAAGACATTGAATGATATGGGCTGACAGATTTTTGTGCTAGGGCTCCCTCACTGTGCCAGTGCAATCTATCATTACCCTGCGAAAAACATGTTTGTATTTAAAAAAACTGGTTTGACAGCTTTAGTGCCATCCATAACCCTTTCACCAATCCCTCGCATACTGTTGCTTGATTTTATGCAGTATGAGTCCTACTTTCTCAGAAAAATAATCTATAATTTTTATCAGCTACAATTTTCTCCTTATATCAAACTAAAAAAAAAACTGCTTGATTGCCTCCCTAATCCAAATATGAAAAATAAAGTTATTAAGAAATGAACTTGTCAACAATGTAATAGCTATCTACAACAGTTACACAATATACTAAAAAAAAGCAATTTTTAACTATAATTGTAACAAAAAATCAATCATATCTGAGTTCATTATCACACTTAATAACCAATTCTTAATAACTCACAATAACTTAATAACCACACACAAAATTCCAATAACAAGGAATTATATAAAATCAAATAAAAAGAGATCAAGGTAATATTTGCATAACGAATTCTTTTCTATCTATTCTAATGTAGTTTTGCAGTTACTTACTTTCATTCCAAAAAACGATTATAAGAAACCAAAATTTCAGAAAAACACCAAATGAGATGTTAAACCCGAATTAGAATGAATTATATCCTTTTATTTCAACTTAATGTCTACAAAATGTGTTTAAAATATATTAATCAATATAATACAAATTTCTAATAAAATACTATACTGGAACAAAAGTATTTAAACAAAACAAAAGCAAATAAAGAAATATGAATAATAATAATACACAATAAATGAAATGCAGAACTGAATTCTAAAATTTTAATCATTAAACACAATCAATAAAATTTTCCTAGGTATCCGTACACCTTCAAAACGTCATTTTGGCCGAAATTTTCGATTTTATTTTAAAATTTGAACTTTTTTCTTTAAAATGGTGCCTAAATTTTATTTCTATCTTATTTAGAGCTTAAGTTATGGGGATTTTAATTTTAATTGGTAGCTACTTTTAAAAATCGGAAGTACAAGTCTACATTTCGGAAGAATGAAAAAAATGTTAGTTTACATTTTTATTTTACAAAGTATTGTTTAAATATGCAATAGTAGAAAATTTATACACTTTAAAATATTAATATTTGAGGTTTCAGAATCTTCAAAAACATAATTGGCAACAGGTTTTTACTAATATTTTTATCCAGAATCTGGCAGGAAAAGAGACTGTGTTATTGTTTGTTTACATTTGCTTACAATTGCAAGTTTATGTTAAATCCTTTTTTATAGCTGAAATTTAAATTTTTTTTCATTTAAAATGGGTAATGCTAAACGTAGAATTTGTGCAAAGAGAAAACGACAATTTTGTGGTAATGAATCTACAAATAAACATTCCAAAAATTGTAGCTCAACATCCACCCCAACGCCAGTTCTTCAAAGATCAAAATGCCTGCTGTTTTTGATGAGGAAATGGCAGAGTATGAGCCTAAAACACTTACAGAAAATAGAATCATAGATATTGATGTCCTCTTAAATGTTTTTTTACAACTTTGTTGCCCAAGATGTTTCCAAGAAGGTTTACTGCTTTCTGAGGATTCAAGATATGGTTTGCGCTCAAATTCTGTTATAAGGTGTAAACATTGCGACTTTTACTCAGGGCTTTTTAGTTCAAAGAAAACTTTAAACTGTCCTGAAGTAAATACAAGATTTGTTAATGATATGAGACAAATTGGAAAAGGCTTTTCTGCTGGGTTTAAATTATGTGGTACGTTAAATTTACCCAGGCTTAGTAAAACTGCGTACACTAATCATGAGAACAAACTCATGTTTGTGATTTCAGAAGTTAGTGAACTATCAATGCAAAAACCAGCTTCTGAACTGTTAGTGCTACATCCGTCTAAAAATAAAATAGTTGAATGTGGTGTTTCAGTTGACGGAACATGGCAGCATAGGGGGTTACACTTCCATGAATGGGTGTGTCGCAGATTTGTCAGTTGACATAGTGGACATTGAAATAATGTCATCATATTGTCCCATCTGCAGAAAGATTTCTAAAATGCCTAAATGCATTGAATCAGAAACTTTTGCAGCAGATCACAGATGCCACAGCAATTTTCAAGGTTTTGCGCTAAAAATGGAAGCTGTTGGTGCAACTAGAATCTTCCAACGTTCTATTGTGAAGCAAGGCTTTACATATGTACAATATTATGGTGACGGGGATTCTAAGGGCTTTATCAGTGTCAAAGGTAGTGTCACAAAATATGAATGCATCGGTCATGTTCAAAAGAGTGTAGGTGCGAGATTGCAAAAACTAAAGTAGAAAAATAAAAATCTGTCTGGTAAAGGCAAACGCACCAACTCTTCTATTGACCGATTGCCAAACTATTATGGGATTGTTGTTCGTAGCAATGTTGGAAACCTCTCAAGTCTTCAACAAAATGTTATTGCGGCCCTGTTTCATTGCTCATCAAGTGTCAAGAAACCCATGCATGGACAGTGTCCCATCGAAAAAGATAGTTGGTGCTACTACCAGCAAGCATTATCTTGTGGCCAAAAGAAAAATATAAAGGTTTATGTACTGAAGTGTTAAACATGATTAAGCCTACATAATTAGAATTATGTACCAAAGAACTACTTACTAAATGCCTGCAAGGAAAAACTGAAATGAGTGCTTCAATGGCATTATATGGCAGAGAGTACCGAAAGAAGTTTTCGTGTGCCTCAAAACTGGTGCATTGGATGCTGTTATACAGTTTAATAATGGGTACAAAGGTTGTGTTGACATTTTTAAAAAATTTAATATAACTCCTAGTTATTTTACTTTAAAATCATACAAACATCTTGATGTTAATAGAACTAACAATACAGAATGTCATTCAACACCAAATGTAAAGCAGCGTAGAAATTTTTTAAAAGAAACAAGGGAAAAAAATCAATGTTTTAGAGAGTAAAGAGGGTGTTATTTATAAATCAGGGGCATTTAGTATATCTAATTGTGTTTAATATTAAAAATTGCAGTTTAAAGTTTATTTCTGATTTATGCAAAATGCATTTTTTTAACGTATTGGTATCTGACAATGTAAATATCAGAAAATGTTGAGAGCCAAATTAGTTTAAATTTTACAAGTACATTTATTTTATAGATTTAAAGAACCCCTACCATTTCCATGATTATAGATTTGATGTTTTTAGTAACTAAGGTGTATATCATGTCTCGTAATAATTTTTAGTGATTTTTCAATGTTCTTTTACTTGAACCTTGATAAAAATTGTAATAATTTGAATATCATTAGGAAAATAGTACCAGCCCTAAAAAATGTTATGATGATCAACATCAAATTTACAGAAAAGTGATATTTTTGTTTTCATTTGAGTAATGTGCGTTATTCTAACAATGAATTTAATTACAATTTTCCCTATATTTTTCTCTCTAAATTTT